CTCCTCCTCCTCCTCTTCCTCTTCCTCTTCCTCTTCCTCTTCTTCTTCTTCTTCTTCTTCTTCTTCTTCTTCTTCTTCTTCTTCTTCTTCTTCTTCTTCCCCTCTCCTTTCCTCTTCCCTGTGGGACTCTACTCTCCTCCTCCTCCTCTTCCTCTTCCTCTTCCTCTTCCTCTTCTTCTTCTTCTTCTTCTTCTTCTTCTTCTTCTTCTTCTTCTTCTTCTTCTTCTTCTTCCCCTCTCCTTTCCTCTTCCCTGTGGGACTCTACAAGTACCACGGCGATGTTCCCTTCCCTTCAGATTGGAGTCCAGTGGCACCTTAGAGACCAACAATATTTTGGGGGTGTGAGCTCTATGCCATCCTGTAAGCTTCCGAGAGTCAAAGGTCCCTTCATGAGATGGTATCTGAGGAAGGGGGCTTGGTCTCTCCAAAAACGTAGACCCCAGAAATCCTGCTGGTCTGTAAGGAGCTACGGCACTCGAATCTTAATTCTCCTGCAGCAGACTCCCAGCCCCCCCTTCTGGAACTTTCTTCCCTTCAGTGACGTTGGGACAGACTGTGAGTAACGAATCAATTTGGACTTGGAATTGTTCAGATTCACAAAACGATTCTTCTCTCTGAGCGGCTCGTGTTTTAGGAAGCCCCGTTTAAAGAGTAGCTTGAATCAGAAGAGGGCTGTTTCTGGCCGGCTGGCGCACAGAGACGAGCTTTGTTATGATTTAGCCAGAAGAATGATAGGCCTGGGCAAACGCATCCACCACAGAAAGGTGGCATTGATAGCTACATGATATCTTGTGATCCTGGGGGGTGCCAGTTGCTGATGGGGGGGGGGTGAGGGGGGAGGGAGGGAGGCATGAATTTGCTATCTACTTTCACTTAAAGTTGCATGGATGTGGAACTGTAGAATGAAAAAAATGGAAGTGAATTTTTTTTTTTAATGTCTAGATCATGTGCCCCACAAAGAAAACTGTGTAGATGAGTAACTTCTGTTGGTATTAAGGAAACTCAGAGATTTGGGGAAAGAATCAAGTGAACCCAAAGGAATCTAGCCAAATGCTCCCTCTGAGCTGTGGAGTCCTGTGGGCAGAAATTCTACTTTGTGAGCTGCTGGCATTAAAGTGGTGAGCGAGCGATTGGGCTGCTGCATAAATTAGCTTGCTCTGGAGCCATCCCTTTCTGAGCTAAAACAAAAATCTGTGAGCTGGAGGCTAGAAAACTGTGAGCTAGCTCACACTAACTCAGCTTAGAGGGAACACCATAACAGTTCTTCAGATGTTTCCTTTTTGTTCTCCCGAGGTTGCAAGATTGTCCTAACTCCTCTTCCGTAGCATGGTGCTACCATGGCTGTCTCCTCCGCTTCTCTAACCTCTTCTCGTTTGTGTTAGACTGTGTGACCTGAGCGACCTGGAATACCTTGACGAGGAGTTCCACCAGAGTTTGCAGTGGATGAAAGACAACGACATACATGACATCCTCGATCTCACCTTCACTGTAAATGAAGAAGTCTTTGGACAGGTGTGCACCCTTTTTCCTTTCCCAGAAAAAAAAATAATAATAATAGAGAAAGACGTCTTGCCTTCTTTGGTTGGATAATGATGTCTCCATTGCTAAGACGGGAGAGTTGTGTTGCCACACTGAGTGCATTTCTCCACCTATCAAGGCATATTAATGTTTAAAAATAAGGGCTCGTGTCCTATGAAGTGCCGGGAGAATATTAAGTTTTCATACATTCAGGGCTATTTTTGGGCAGGAACGCACAGGAACGGAGTTCCGGCTGGCTCCCAAGTTGGCCACGCCCAGCAGGAACTCATTAGCATAACAGGCCACGCCCAACAGCAGAAACTCATTAGGATTGGCTACATTAGGGCTGTGTGGCCTAACATGCAAAGGAGGCCCTGCTACAAAAAAAGGCCCTGGGTTTTGACAACAAACAAGGTAAACAGAATAAGAAGCAAAAGGTGGGTGTGGCTGGATGACCACACTTCTGGCAACAGGGGGCTGCGACCTAATATGCTAATGAGCTGTGGTGTCAGGGTGTGGCCTATTATGCTAATGAGTTCCTGCTGTTGGGTGTGGCCTATTATGCTAATAAGTTCCTGCTGGGCTTTTTCTACAAAAAGAGCCCTGCATACATTCCTCTCTCTCTTTCTCTCTCTGCCTGCAACCACTTTTGACTCCTGGAGAAAATATTCGTGGAATCACAAGATCTGCATGGATGAATACGGTGCTTTCCATGGTCATAGAGCCAGAGGAGTCAGCCATGTTAGCCTGTGGCTGCGAAACAGTAAAAAGCCCAGTAGCACCTTTAAGACGAACAAACTTTATTGTAGTGTAAGCTTTCGAGAAACACAGCTCTCTGCATCTGATGAAGAGAGCTGTGTTTCTCGAAAGCTTACGCTACAATAAAGTTTGTTAGTCTTAAAGGTGCTACCGGGCGTCTTACTATTTTGCTTGGATGAACAGTCATATTGGTGGGGGGGGGCTGTAGTGAGCAGGGGGTGAAATTACCACTCTGCCCTTTTCTGCAGAAGCCACTCTGCTGGCTCAGGAGAGAGGAAGAGGCTATTTTTACCCCCTTCCAACTCTGCAGTGCGGTCCCACCTCCTCCCACAGCAGTGTATCCATGCAGGTTTTGTAACAGTGCAGATCCATTTGTCTGGAGGTCAAGATCAATTGCAGAGGGAGTGAGGAACCTGGGGAAACAAAGCATTTTTTTCCAGGGGCAGGGGGGGGGGAGGTACTTTGTAAGATACTAGCCTTGGAGTATTATCTTTTACCTGCCCAGCATAGCTCTCCAGTGTAAAAGGCTGCTTCTGACAGCATACAACTAAAGAAGTAAAATTTCTAGTGCCACAGAAAAAACTTTTTTTTGGGGGGGGGGGGGAAAAGGAAATGTGGGAAAGAGTCTAAAGATACTTGCTTTCCTATTAATCCTAAACTTATTTTAACAACTTAAAATGCATCGTTTATGAATTGGCATATAAAATTGTACTCTTTGGCATGCTTTTGGGATTTAAAAGTAGAAATATCTTGGTATTTTCTAGAAGAAAAATTGCAATACTTGGGAGAGAGCCGCAAACATCTGCACTCAAGGCTACCAACACATGAATCTTAGTTTTTGTTGTCTGAGAGGCGGGGGAGGGAGGAGTTGCAGGTAGCAAACATTCTGTACATAACAAAAGTGTATTATTTAGACAGAAACACTCATACAGTTGCAATTAGGGGTGTGCAAAAAAAATGCCGGTATTTTTCGGCTTCGGGTAAATCAGACCCGAAAAATATCAGTAAATGCCGAATTTCCCCAGTCCGATACCGGTAAGGTATTTGGATTGGGGAAATATTCGGTATTGCCAAATATGTTTGGGGCTGATTTACACCACTGGAGGGAAAGGAGGCATGTTTAAATGCTTTCTTCCCCACTGGTGGTCACTACAGATTTCCCTGTCAATTTCACTCCCTGGGAATCAGCTGAGAGTGAAATTGACAAGGGAAAGCCTGGGCTCTCTGCTTTCCCTTCTCTAGCTGATGTCCTAGCTGGAGAATGGCAGGCAGGGAACCCAGGCATGTTTAAAATGCCTTGCTTTCCTTCCCCGAACTGGGGAAAGGAAAGAAAGGCATTTAAACATCCCCCCCCACTTCCCCAAGTTTCTCTGCAAAAGTGGAGAGGCTCAGGGAAGGAAGGGGGCATGCGTGCATGCCTGCCCTTCCCCAGTCTGCCCGCCATGGTGGGCAGGCTGGGGAAGCACAGGGCAGGCATGCAGACATGCCTGGGGTCCCCTCCTGATCTTCTCCAGGTGCCCTGCAGCCATGGGGCACCTGGAGAAGATCAGGAGGGGAACCCAGGCATGTTTAAAATGCCTTTCTTTCCCCACCCCCAATCTTGGGGAGGGAAACAAAGGCATTTAAACAAAACAGCTGACTGGTGGTTCAGGCTGTTAGGTTTAATTGAGACCTTTTTCGGTATAGCAAAAAGAACCCCAAAAAAGTCGGATAATATCGGCTTTTTCGGGTTCAACTATACCGGTAGCCGAATACAAATCTCCAATACCAACAAGGTATTTTTCGGGTATCTTTTCGGTTTGGCTATAGCCGAATGCACACTCCCAGTTGCAATAGGTAGGTCTACCAGTGTATTTGCACTGATCTGGATAGCCCAGGCTAGCCTGATCTCGTCAGATCTCGGAAGTTTGGTAGGGTTGGCCCTGGCTATTATTTGGATGGGAGACCTCCAAGGAATACCAGGTTCGTGACACAAAGGAAAGCAATGGCAAACCACCTCTGAACATCTCTTGCCTTTAAATACCCACGGGGTCACCATCATCTTGAGAATCCTGCACAAATCAGTTGTGTTTATTTAGTATTTAAAGGGTGCTGTGTGAAAGTGGAAGCACTGGAAGAACTTGACTGCACTGAGGACATCTGTGAGCCTATATAACTATGCGCCTCTCTCCCATGGACATCAATAGGGACAGAAGCTGCCTCTGCTGTAGCCCCTTTCCACCATTACATTTCATCACACGTATGGGGAGCAATGTTCCCTCTAAGCTGTGCACGTGAGCGGCCGCTCATTAACTCAGGAAGCCCCGCTCCACAGCAGTCTGGAGCCACACGGGTTCTTGCACTGCCCACTGCCCATCTTAAGATGACAGCAGTTATATTCTACTCAGAATGTGAACTGTTCCACTCAGGAGGGGGTTAAAATAAGAGGGAGCATTGATGGGTAGAATGCACTACAGACTGGTATGCCTGTACTGATGCCAAAAATATGCACGTTGCCCCTTTCAGACAAAATGGAGACTGTGAATAGGCAGAGGATCACGTGCGGCGTCTGAATGAGAGCCAGCAGATGCTGAGAAAATACAAGATTAATTCTGAGTAGGAGACGTAGAGCATGGGCTCCGAGTATAAAGCGACCTGACGAAGCATTGAGGGAAACAGATTGTTTACCTGGGAAATCTGTAGTCGCATGGCAGTTGTTGGAAGCAGCAGCAGCAGCGCTGCATGACGTAAAATAAAGAAACAAAAAGGAGAAGCAAATTTGTGGACTGTAGTTGGACTTGAATCAATTTTTGCACAGTGAACATTGCTGGGGTGCCACCTTGGTTGAGTCACTGTGGTCCATTTGTGGCTGGAACCACCTGGAGGTTGGCAACCCTACAAGTGCACACTGTAAAGGAATTCTCGGTCCACTACAGATATTAGGAAGCTTCATTGCAAAATCTCTCTTTGCAGACTGGGGCGCCTGCCTTGCGTCTCTCATTTTACTGCGTCTCTTGCTTCGTCCTTGAGATCTCTGGCCCAGGAGAGAGAAACATTCGGATGCTGTAGCTTGCCTTTCACTGCTTCAGTAGGATTTTATTCATGGCGCACAGCTTGATGAATCCGTTGTCAACTGTCTATTCCCCCCCCCCCTTTCGTTGTAACGTCCCGGTTGTCGTTTACCTTTAAGATAACCGAGCGGGAACTGAAGCCCGGGGGTGCCAACATCCCTGTGACGGAAAAGAACAAAAAGGAGTACATCGAGAGGATGGTGAAATGGCGGATTGAGAGGGGGGTCGTGCAGCAGACGGAGAGTCTCGTGCGTGGCTTCTACGAGGTACAAAAAAATAATAATCTGAATTCTGTTTCCAATATATTAAATGCCTGTAGCGTGACATGGCCCCGACCTGGAAGGCCAGGCGAGCCCGATCTTATCAGATCTCAGAAGCTAAGCCGGGTCAGCCCTGGTTAGTATTTGGATGGGAGACCTCCAAGGAAGCCCAGGGCTGTGTCACAGAGGGCTGAGCGTCTCTTGCCTCAAAAACCCCACGGGGTTGCCGTAAGTCAGTTGTCACTTGACAGTGGGAAAAAAAGTATTTCATGGTTTAGCAGAGAGCCATGATGGACACCTATCCTGAAGCTGATTACATCTGTACTAAGCATTGTCTTGTCATTGGTATTCTGTCGGCTGTATCCGTCATGAAAGTTGCTGGATGTAAGAGCGGTGCATCTTCTGAGGAACTGGGAAACGTAATGTCTGCCGTTCATATCCTTTGCAGTGGGAGGGCTTCTAATGTCCTGGCCCCTCTGGTGGACCTCCTGATGGCCCCTGGTATTTCTGGCCACTGTGTGACACAGAGTGTTGGACTGGATGGGCTTTTGGCCTGATCCAACATTGGCGTCTCTTACGTTCTTATGTTCAGGCAACAAATAATTTATGTGTGGAGGGACCAATTGTGCAGCTTGCAAACATTAGTATGATGTTATTTAGCATAATGTATGTTTTTTTCCCCTCCTCCTCTGCCCGGTGCTATTGAATAGATTTCTAGTTGTCTTCCACCTGCACTTGGGTATAGGGTGGCTCATCTTACATCACTGAGATGTGACATCAATGGCAAAGCTGGGTATCACCTTAGGGATGCCAACCTCCAGGTAGGACCTAAGGATCCCCTGGAATTTCAGCTCATCTCCAGACAACAGAGATCAGTTCCCCTGGAGGAAATGGTTGCTTTGGAGGGAGGACTCTATAAAGTTATATCCTGCTGTGATCCCTGTCGTCCCCAAGGTCCATCCTCTCCAGGGAGTTCCCCGTCAACCCCCCCCCCCCTTGCTGGTGGCCAGGATGAACCTGGCAACCCTACGTTACTTCTGTCACGGCTCAGATGGGGTGTCACCTGACGCTGCCACCACTCTGCTTCCAGGCTCCCTTGAGAAGGCCCAGAGCACCCTCCCAAGACTTTTAGACCTACCTTTTGGCCGAATAACAGGCATGAGGACCAGGCAGAGTGAACAATGCAAATAGTTTATTTTATAAGAGGTCAAACAAACAAGGTGCAGAATAATAACAGTAAGTGGGTGAAAAGAAAAGAAATCAAATGCCCTAACACGTCTAAATATACACTGTCCCTAGCTCACTATTCCAAGTGGCACTAGACTACTCACCCTTCCCTCAGGATGAGGGTCTCTTCTCTGCAGCAGCCTTCCTTCTGGCTCTGCCCTCTGGGAAGAAGAACAGCTTTTCCTGCTGCTCCAGTTCTTTTATTCCAAGCCCTCCTCTTTTCCTATTGGTCAGTTTTGGCTCCAAAACGTCTCAGGGGCTTCTGGGAATTGTAGGCCCAGCCTCACCTACTGCTAGCCAGGTTCCCTGGGCCTAGTAGGCCTCTGGTGGCACAGCTCAGATGATGACAACTTCAGTGTGAAGCTATAGTATCCCTCTAGCAGTTCAGTGGTCATCTGCAGTAGCAGTAGCCCTAGAAACTAAACACAGACCAAGTACTATGTTTATGTGGATCTCCTGATGGCCCCTGGGTTTTGGCCGTTATGTGACACAGCGTGTTGGACTGGATCCAGCATGGCTTCCCTTAAGTTCTTATACTGAGCCTTTGGGGGCTCTTTGCCTTCCCTACATATTCCATTCTCCAGATCAACGGCGCTAAATGTGTTTTAAAAAAGAAATTCCAAAAATCATGTCAGCCTGCTGTCAACAGCGGCAATTCTGTGATGTCTCTGTTACGCTACTGGGGTACCTAGTATTTTACTTATTTATCTGATGGATTTATATTCTGCTATTGTACCCAAATCAGTTTATAGTTCTGTCCACAATATAAAGACTTGGGAGGCCAGCGTCAGAGTCTTGCAGCAATCAGGAATCAAAAACAGGCTTTCAAAGGAGGTTCAGTTCATTGTTCCAGTATAGGCAAGTCATCCATACACGTTCAGTGTCAGAACTAATTCAGAAAGCGGGAAAGGGTCAATTATACCTGGTTCAAAGCAGGGTCTTCTGATGGCTCAAAGCCAATCAGGGAAGAAGCCTTTGCGTGCCTAAAACTAACGGGTTCACATTCCAAGGGGAAGCAGTGCAGCAGACACCAAGGTCAAACAGCGATAGAAGGAATACTGGGAATCGAAACCAAACATACCGAGCTTGAAAGAAGACACAAATCAACCACCTTCCCCTCCACCAGCCACAATGGCAGCATAACTGACAGCCAGGATCCTGCTTGTTTGATTCAAGGGCCAAATTGCACATTGCTTGGGAGATCCAGGGGTTTCCTTAAACAGTGCAGAGAAGTTTGAGAGGGATGGATTTGATCTTGGCTTCAGCACTGGGCAAGAGAGGATTCCCTTCCTAATTGCCACCCCTCCCCTCCAAGCTGCCATGAGTGGTTGTAGGAAGGGGGAAAGACAGGACAACGTGCCTGTCTTTTTCCCTCCCGACATCAGCTACCGTGTTTCCCCGAAAATAAGACTGTCTTATATTTATTTTTTCTCAAGAAGACACACTAGGGCTTATACTACAAATGCATAGAAATCCTGCTAGGGCTTATTTTGGGGGTAGGTCTTATTTTCGGGGAAACAGGGTAATAGCCATTCCGGTGATTTCTGTGGCGGAATCAAGTGGAGTAGGGAGGGGAAAAGGTAAACGCTCCCCAGAACTGCAGCCCTGCTCCAAATTGGAGGTGAGTAACCAGGGGGGTTTTTTGTAGAAAAAGCCCAGCAGGAACTCATTAGCATAATAGGCCCCACCCAACAGCAGAAACCCATTAGCGTATTAGGCCACACCTCTGATGCAACATATTAGCATATTAGGCCACACCCCCATGCCTTCCTTTGGCTTGCCCGGGCAAGCCGGCCCTTGGACAGTCTGGGGAGACATTTAAATGCCTCCCCGATCCTTCCAGGGGCCCCCGGCCCCCCCAACTCGGAGTCGCCAGGTGGGGTTGCTCTCCAGGCCTTCCCTCTGTAGCCAGGCATGCAGAGTTTTGGCTGTAGTGGGCGTGGCCAACTCTGAAGCCAGCCGGAACTTCGTTCCTGTGCGTTCCTGCACAAAAATAGCCCTGTGAGTTACTATGGGGCTGTTTTTTAGCATTAAAGAAAATGTTGGTTTGGGCTCTTAACTGTTTTCCGCCAAAAAAACTTGGGATGGATCGTCGGGCTCTAACTCCTTCCCCCCCCCCGCCTCCAAAAAAACAACACTGGGATGAATGGTGGGCTCTCCTTCTGGGGAGGTTTTCAAGCAGAGTTCTGGATGGCCATCCGGCAGCAAGGCTGATTCTGTGAACTGAGGCAGAGCACGAGAAAGGAGGGCAGGAAGGGTCGCCTCAGTGCTTAGTTCTCGTGGCCCTTTCTTAACACGCCCGGGGAAATGCCGATTGCCACTTTGGGGTCAGGAAGCAATTTTTCTCCAGGCCAGTTTGTCCGGAGATCCTGGAGGCTTTTAGTCATCTTCTGGGCATGGAACAGGGGTCACTGGGTGTGTGTGGGGGCGGGAGGTATTTGTGAATTTCCTGCAATGTGTAGGGGGTTGGACTAGATGACCCGGGAGGTCCCTTCCAACTCTATGGTTCTATGACTCCAGCAAGAAGGGCACTGTTCCCACCCACCCCCTTCTTGCTGCAGCCCTCCGACGCACACAACTATAACTCCGTGCTGGTCCCGTGACCCTGGGAATCAACTTTCCCCGGGAGCCAGAACTGCTGTGGGGAGGGGAAGGCAAGGAAGACCCACTCTTCTTGCATGCACGGATTGCTGGGGCCGGTCCACTGCAGACAAGCTGCTAAAGCCTGAAGAGTATTTATTAGAACATCTCTGCCTGGCCTTCATTCCTCCCCCAAAAGGGAGCTTTGTTCAAAGATGGAGACCGCCGGTACGCATGTCTATGGATGCATTTATTTTCTCTCCTAGGTCGTTGACGCCAGGCTGGTTTCCGTGTTTGACGCGAGAGAGTTGGAGCTGGTTATTGCTGGCACGGCAGAAATCGACTTGAGCGACTGGCGAAACAACACCGAGTACAGAGGAGGTGAGATCTTCTCCATATGTGTATGTCTGTGTTGCGGTCAGGTTTCCCTTTCAGATCGCTGGGGTGGCGAAACTTTGAAATTATCCAAAAGAAGCAACTTCTTTTTTAAAAAGAAGAAGAAGAAGAAGATTGCAATAAACGGCCCTAATTTAATTTTTGGGACTAATCCGTCACAACATAATTTTAGAAAGCATGTGTTCGTCTTTTGAAAAACTCAACTTCAGAAGGCCTGGTGTTTTCCCACTTAGCTTTTGGATTAGGGGCAGGCGTTCCTTTTGATAAAAAGGGGGCAGAACCCAGGACGGCACAGCTGGTAATGGGCAAAAGAGAGCGCGCAGGTTAATCAGAGGTATAAAGGTACACTCGGCTGTGATTCGTTGCAGATGGGGCCGGCATCACGGCTTGGAAGAAGTTAGGCCCTCTGGTGAAAGACGAGACGCCTCCGTCTCGCAGAGATGTGCCTGTGACAGAGATGGTTGAATTAATTGGCATCTGGTGTTCATTCCCGGGTAACCGAGAAATGTGCCGGGATCAGATGGCTGATAAAAATTCATCTGAGACGTCAAGAGGGTGGTGTTAACGGAACAGTTGCAAACAACGCCCAGCGTGATAACGAGCCATTTCTAGAAATCGAGAGGAAGCAAAAACTGCCAGAATTTTAGATAGGTTCATATTGATAGGTAAAGCTAAAAGAGGACCATATTTAAGTAAATCCTAAGTGCTAGGCTCTTTTAAAGGGCTGCGGTGGCTCAGTGGTTATGACACTGAACTGCAGACCAAAAGGTCGGTAGTTCAGCAGTTCGAGACCCGAGTGCCACGTGACAGAGTGAGCTCCCGCCTCTGGTCCCAGCTCCTGCCAACCTAGCAGTTCGAAAGCAAGAAATTGCAAGTAGATAAATAGGTACCACTTCGGTGGGGAAGGTAACAGTGTTCCGTGCGCCTCGGCATCTAGTCATGCCGGCCACATGACCACGGAAACTTCTTCGGACAGCGCTGGCTCTTCGGCTTGGAAACGGAGATGAGCACCGCACCCCTAGAGTCGGATTCGACTGGCTTTCAAGCAAGGGAACTTTTACCTTTACCTAAGGGCTCTTTTGACATTTCTTTGCAAAGCAGACTCTAGTGGCCATTACTGTTAGCTTCAGGTCTGATTGGGTTGAACACTTAATTCCCAGATGAAGCGGAGAACATTTCTGTCTAGCGTCTTTATAGAGGAAGTCCCAGTCCTGTTTAAAAAGTTTCTCTATAAGCAATGCTCGTCTTCTTTCTGTTAGATTGCTTAATTTCCATACACCCAATCGGTTAATTTCCATACCCACACTTCTGTACCATTTTGACCGACAGCGCTCGCGGGCTGCTGACAATTTAACAGTCTCTGTACTTAAAGCTGACCATAGCTTTCAAAATCAATGTTGAAATGTTTGGGAGGCCCAGTTCGAGTGGCACAACTGAGGAAGCTATATGTGGGGGTAAAGCAAGTATTTTACAAAAGAAGGTTATCTGAAGTTTATCAGTGGGCCCCCGTATGTTTTCCTACTGTCCAAAGCAGCAACCAGAGAGGGATTTCTTAGGAAAAGGCTATTAAAGTTAACTTCTTTAGAGTTTCAGCTCAGGTTTCAAAAGTGGTTTGTCGTGCGTCATCGGGGCAACTTACAGAACTGCTTGCGTGGTGTTCTGGGTCCTCGCTGTATTTGTAATACATTTGGAAAATGGGTTTTTAGGTTGCGAGTGATTCTTCTGTCATTCAGTTCACATATTCCATTGCATTTTTTCTTAAAATTTTGTCCCACTGAGCCACTTATCTTTTTTAACATTTTGAATATCTCTTTAAATAACGACAGGCTTGATATGAAAACATCACAAAAGTGAGAAACCTTTGTGATGAAATATTTATGTTCTAAGGTAAAGGTTCCCTTGCTTGAAAGCCAGTCGAGTCCGACTCTAGGGTTGCAGTGCTCATCTCCATTTCAAAGCCGAAGAGCCAGCGCTGTCTGAAGACGTTTCCGTGGTCATGTGGCCGGCATGACTAAACACCAAGGCGCACGGAACGCTGTCACCTTCCCACCGAAGTGGTACCTATTTATCTACTTGCAATTTCTTGCTTTCGAACTGCTAGGTTGGCAGGAGCTGGAACTAGAGACGGAAGCTCACTCTGTCATGCGGCACCCGGGTCTCGAACTGCTAAACTACCGACCTTCCACAGCCTGCAGTTCAGCGTCTTAACCACTTGAGCCACCGCAGCTCCATTATGCAAACCAGACTACTAAAGGTAAAGGTAAAGGTTTCCCTTGCTCGGAAGCCAGTCGAATTCAACTCTAGGGATGCAGTGCTCATCTCTGTTTCCAAGCTGAACATTCAGCGCTGTCCGAAGACATTTCCGTGGTCATGGGGCCGGCATGACTGGATGTCGAGGCGCACGGAACGCTGTTCCCTTCCCACCGGAGTGGTACCTATTTATCTACTTCCAATTTCTTGCTTTCGAACCGCTAGGTCCTCTTCCTCTTCCTGTCTTCCTTTTCTTCTTCTTCTTCTATTTTTACTCTGCCCTTCCTCCAAGGTTTTCGGGATGGTATTCCCCCACCTCTGCTCAGTCACCTCTTGCTTTTCTCTCCTGGGACTCTAAGCAGCTTTCAGAACGGGGAGAGTTCTCCCTATCCACTTTTATTACTTTATAAACCCTGTCGTGACTCCTCTTTTTTCTAAACCAGAAATGCCCGGACACTTTAGCCTTCCCTCTTCTCTCTTCTCCTTGCTGTTTAAAGTTTAAAGGGTATAAGCATATCCACTAAGAGCTTAATTTTCACTTAGCGTACAGGTGGGCTGTGGTGGCTCAAGTGGTTAAGACGCTGAACTGCAGACTGGAAGGTTGGCAGTTCAGCAGTACGAGACCTGAGTGCCACGTGACGGAGGGAGCTCCCGTCTCTATCCCCAGAATTTGCAAGTAGATAAATAGGTACCACTTTGGTGGGAAGGTAACAGTGTTTCGTGTACCTCGGCGTCTAGTCATGCCGGCCATGTCAGCCACATGACCACGGAAACGTCTTTGGACAGCGCTGGCTCTTTGGCTTGGAAACGGAGATGAGCACCGCATCCCTAAAGTCGGATTTGACTGGCTTTCGAACAAGGGAAACCTTTACCTTACAGGTGGGGTCGTCATGTCGGTCCAAAGCAACAGAACTAAGTTTGAGTCCAGTGGCATCTTTAAGACCCACAAAGTTTTATTCTGGGTAGAAGCTTTAGTGTGCATGCACAGCTCTGGGTAGAAGCTTTCGTGTGCATGCACAGCTCTGGGTAGAAGCTTTCGTGTGCATGCACACTTCTGGTGCCACTGGACTCAGACTTTATTCCCTACCTATATGTAAGGCTTGAGGAAATCTGTTTCAGTGTATCTAACGAAGCGTGCCTGCGCACATGCCCTTCAAGTTTGGCAAGAACAGCACGGGCATGGGTTTCATTTGGGGTATCCATGTCTGAGTACACAGTAGGAATAGGGGATCCGTCCTGAGGACAGCAAGTATTTATTTATTAATTTATTCGACTTATATCCCACCCTCCCCGCCGAGGCGGGCTCACAGCCATTGGAAGAGGACCATGTTGGAAACTTGCTCGTCATTGTGAAGAGCTCCAAAAACCATCAGCTTTATTACCAGACTGTCTTCAGCCCTTGCTTTAATGGCTTTCATCCACACTGAGATAGAGCCCTGTTGTTATTGTTATTATTATTATTAATTGAATTTCTGAACCACCCCATCCCGGAGTACACAGGACTCTGGGCCATTTCCAACAGATTAATGATTAGCATTTCACATTTCAGCAGTCTGTCTATCGCAGGAAAGCGGGCCACGTTAACATGGTATTTCTGTTTGGATCCCACAGGCTACCACGACAATCACATCGTCATCCGATGGTTTTGGGCCGCTGTAGAAAGATTCAACAACGAACAGCGGCTGAGGCTGCTACAGGTACGAGATCTCTCGATGCGTGGGAAATAACTCGGCTGCCTCTTCTCCATCAGTGATCCAGTCTAGGCTGACGAAACTCTCAGTGCGTAACCTCGAAGCAGACGAATGGCTTGTTCGTTCTCGAATCTCCTACGAGACACTTAGTGGTTATCAGCAGAAGCGATAAATCCAAGAGTGCTTCTATCTGTGTGTGTGTCTCTGTGTGTGTGTGAACTGCCATTAAGATGGTTCCCACCAATGTTCCCTCTAAGCTGAGTTAGCGTGAGCTAGCTCACAGTTTTTTAGCCTCCGACTCACCCATATTTGTCTCCACTCAGGAGGGATGGCTCCAGAGCAAACTAATTTATGCAGGAGCTGCTCTGGGACTCCTTCAGGTATAAATTCAATCTCTTCTTCTTCAAACCTCCACCGGGGCACTAGCAGAGAACTAGAACAGCAATCGATAAATTAGAGCCAGTTTGGTGTAGCGGTTAAGTGCGCGGACTCTAATCTGGGAGAACCGGGTTTGATTCCCCACTCCTCCACTTGCACCTGGCTGGATGGCCTTGGGCAAGCTGTAGTTCTGATAAGAGCTGTTCTTGAAAAAGAGCCGTTTCTGTCAGAGCTCTCTCAGCCCCACCCACCTCACAGGGTGTCTGTTGTGGGGAGGGGAAGGGAAATGAGCTTTTAAGCTGCTCTGAGACTCCGAGTGAAGGGCGGGGTATAAATCCAATCTCTTCTTGTTCATCTACTCTGTGGGTCTGTGAACTGGCCATCCTTGTACGAGCAAGAGTGAGTGAATGAATCACGAGAGAGGTCAGGTTGTCTGTCTGTTAACCGCGTGAAATAAAAGCGGACTCGCAAAACGGTCTTTCACCAGTTAAGAACTACAACAGCAATCAATAAATGCAGCGTACAGCCACGGTGGGTGAATCATTAAAACATTGGGCTAGGATTGGGGGAGCCCCGAGTTCAACTTCTGCTCAGGCATGAAACCAACTGGCTAGCGTTTCTCCCCCTGCACTGCCGTAGGGAAGGCAGAACCATACATTTAATGTGGAACTCCTTGGAGGCCCTGGCAAATCAAAATGCCACAAACGTACAAAAGCAGATATAAAAGTCCCCCAAGGAGACTCCCCTGGGAATCCAGAGAGCTGATAAGTGGCATGGGTTTGACCAAAGGGATTTTTGTGTACTTTGAAAATCCCCTCCATTTTGAAAGGGAAAGGGACTTTCACACAGCATCGCTTGGATGCTGGTTGAGAAATGCAAGTGCAAAGTCCCTAAGGCGCCTGGAACTACTCGCAGGTTCTGGCCTCCATCTGAAAGAGGACAAACATGACCTCATCAGAGAACAAGTATAAAGAAAACAGTCGTGAGTGTCTGACCCACAAATCAAACGTGCTTTACCACACCTAGGATCCATTAGAAGCTTAGCAGCATATCTGAGCCTGAACGTTTACTGAGATCAGCGTCCTATCTGAATGTAATCTTTCATGACTTGTTGTAAAGCACTTTATGAACAAGAGGACTTCTGTACCACTCTAACATTTCCTGAGGAAGATCAAATTTGGACATGTTGTTATATAATCCGGAGACAACGTTGATGATGTACCTTTGCACTAGGATTTTCTTATGATTTGTGGGAATTGATTTATGGTGTTGTAGTGCTTCAGACTGTAATACATAGTAAGCATTTTCTCTGCAAGTCTTGTTGACTGCCTGATTTGTGGGTCAGACACTCACGACTGTTTTCTTTATACTTGTTCTCCATCTGAAAGCCCCAGAAGTGTCCGTTTGCCATTGGAAAATACCCTCTGTCAGAGTCTTTTCACAAAGTCTTGCGGAGTCCACTTCCCCCAGGAAGGCTAAACACCCATCTTTTCCTCTTCCTCTTCACTGAGTGGGCTTGAAGTGAGCACTGCGTCCTTCTAGATATTAATCTTGACTCTTGTCCAATGTTCCCACTAAGCTGTGGAGTCCTGTGAGCAAAAATTCTACTTTATGAGCTACTGGCATTAAAGTTGTGAGTGAGCAATTTGGCTACTGCATGAATTCGTTTGCTCTGAAGCCCTCCTTCCTGAGCGAAGACAAAAATGTGTGAGCTGGAGGCTAAAAAACTGTGAGCTAGCTCACACTAACTCAGCTTAGAGGGAACACTGCTCTTGTCTTGAATGGAATAGATTGGCTATAGATTGGGGGGGTACAAATTCTACAGGGAGGTGCGCCTGACCCCCTCACTTTGGATCTTTAGGACGCAGCAGAAGACAGTTTTATTTAGGACAGCGTTTGATTAAAGCAGTCCTAAGCAGGGATTCCAAACTTTGGTTTTACGTATTTTTATGTATTCTGCTTTCTGTAATCTATTTATCTGGTTAGCCGCCCGAAGCTCTATCAGGAAGAAAGGCGGCTAATAAATGCTTTAAAGGAAGTAAGATCGATGTAAGATCGAGCCAGTTTGGTGTCGTGGTTAAGTGTGCAGACTCTAATCCGGGAGAACCGGGTTTGATTCCCCACGCCTCCACTCGCAGCTGCTGGATGACCTTGGGTCAGTCACAACTTCTTTCAGAGCTGTTCTTGAAAACAGCAGTTTCTGTCAGAGCTCTCTGAGCCCCACCTACCTCGCAGGGTGTCTGTTGTGGGGGAGGGGGAAGGGAAAGGAGTTTGTAAGCCGCTCTGAGACTCCAAGTGAAGGGCGGGGTATAAATCCAATCTCTTTTTCTTCTTCTATAAATACAATGTGGGATTTACCTCCCCCCCCCCAGATTTGGCCATGATTTGCACATAGGAATTCACCCATGTTTTTAAAAATAGCCCATGAGAAGATCTAAGTTCTGTTTTGTGCAATAGATAACTCAAGCTGTTTTGCTTTTGCCTTCAGTTTGTCACAGGCACGTCTAGCATACCTTACGAAGGTTTTGCGTCTCTGAGAGGGAGCAACGGACCAAGAAGATTCTGTGTCGAAAAATGGGGGAAAATCACTGCTTTGCCCAGGTAAAAGAATGCCAGGTGTTTAAAGAAACCCGAACCTATGGGCCAATTCAGAGCCCTGGTCTCTCTGATTGAATCATACGGTCTTCATTCATAAAACCGAGGTGTTTCTGTTGCCAGTTTCTGAAATTATCTGAGTGCCAATCGAGAAACTGGCGTCTGTCATTAGATTCAACATAGCCTTGGTTCAGCCACAATATTTATTTATTATTTATTTATTCTTTACATTTATAGGGCGGGTAACATCATTGAAATAAACACAATTTCCGTTTAAAACATTAAACATTAAGATACAATAAAACATTATAACAATTAAAACAATGGGTACAGCTTGGAAGACCATAAATTGGCTATAAAGTTCTGGTCTGATGGCTACGGGCCTGGATCCGGCTTTGATTCCCCACTCCTCCACTCGCAGCTGCTGGATGACCTTGGGCAAGCCATAGTTCTCTCAGAGCTGTTCTCTCAAGGGCAGTTCTGGCAGAGCTCTCTCAGCCCCACCTACCTCACAGGGTGTCTATTGTGGCGCGGGGAAGGGAAAGGAGTTTGTAATCCGCTCTGAGACTCTTTGGGTAGTGAAGGGCAGGGTATAAATCCAATCTCCTCCTCCTCCCCCTCTTCTTCTTCTTCTTCTTCCCACATGCTAAATAATGCCATTGCAGGCCACTTCAGTGACTGTTTGCAAGTGGATTTTACCATTTCACACAGCAAAATCCAGTTGCAAAGTGCACCGAAAGTGGTTTGGAAGTGCGTTATTTAGGGTGTGTGAAAGTGTCCAATGTCTTTAGTAGCGCTACCATCGGACAGCACTGGGCAAATCGTTCTGCCTCAGCTTGGACCCTCCACTGGAACGGGGGAATGGCAGGGCCCTGCATCGCACATAAGGAAACTCAGTCCGTTCGTTCACCAGGTCGGCTGTAACGCAAACAATTCCGGCATCTCCTTTTGATTGCCTGGGCAGAGCTGGTCTTTGATTCCAAGCAGCGCCACGGTGGCATTCGGTCACGGCCAGAGCATGATTTTAAAGGCGTTTGTATGCCTACGAGAGCTTAATTAAACAAAGCGTGAGATAACAACCCCTTGGGCAGATACGCACACACACGCAACTTGAAGAAACAGCAGTGTCTTGATCCACGTGACCTTCTCGCCCTCCGTTCTGAGCAGAACGAAAGTGATTTGTTTTCGTAAGCTCCCCGGCCCCCTTATGCGGAACACCTTCTGTCCCGGTGGTACCAGCTTCAAAGGCTTTGCTGTGCAAACACGGCAAGGAGCTGGGGGATGGTGGCAAGTTCAAGTTAAAAGTCAAGGAGCATCAGGGAGTGTCGGAAGACCTTTGGGAAATGCCCTGCAGATTCTGTTACTGAACTGGTAGAAGGTGACGTAGACGCAGCTTCGTAGTCGACAGAGAAGGGGGCTCACGCCCAGCTCCAACCACGGCTCAGTCGTGAAGGTTGACTAGATGGCCGCGAGTCAGTTGTTCTCTCTCAGCCGAGCCAACAGAGAACAGAATGAGAGGAAGGGGATCCGTACGCATTGCCCTGAGTTCCTTGGAGGAGGAAGGGTGTGATAGAAAAAATGGAACGTATGGGTGAAAGTAGTATCCGAATGTTCTGGTGGGCCCACCGTCTGACAGCGGCAAATGTCTATTTAACTAGACAGGTAGCCGTGTTAGTCTGTCCGTAGCCGTGGAAAAGAGGCAGAGTCCAGTAGCACCTTAACGACTATGACAATTTGTGGCGGGGGACGTGCTTTCGTGAGTCACTGCTCACTTCTTCAGATAGACCAAGATGGGTTGCCGTGTTAGTCTGTCTGTAGCAGTACAGCCTGTCTGTAGAGCCAGTTTGGTGTAGTAGTTAGGAGCGCAGGCTCTAATCTGGGAGAACCAGGTTTGATTCCCCACTTCTCCACATGCCAGTGTGACCGTGGGTCAGTCACAAGTTCTCTCAGAGCTGTTCTCTCAAGATCAGTTTTCTCAGAGCTCTCTCAGCCCCACCTTGGGTCTGTCTCAGGTTCTCTCGGAGCAGTTCTTTCAGAAGCAGTTCTCGAGAGAACTCTCTCAGCCCCACCTATCTCACAGGGTGTTTGTTGTGGGGAGGGGAAGGGAAAGGAGACTGTAAGCTGCTCTGAGACTCCTTTGGGTAGTGAAGGGTGGGGTATCAATCCAATCTCCTTTTATCTTGTTCAGTAGGAAAGTGCCACGGTCCAGTAGCGCCCTGAGGACTAACCAAATTTGTGGCAGGGGATGAGCTTTTGTCAGTTACTGCTATCTGGAGAAGCAAGCCGTGACTCACAAAAGTTCCTCCCCGGCCACAAATTTTGTTAGTCTTCAAGGTGCTACCGGACTCTTGCTCTTATCTATTTATCGGTTAACATTTTTATCACGCCTCTCCTCCAAGTAGCTCAGGGCTGCCTACATGGTCTCCCCCTTCTCTGCTGATAGCCTCACAATGACCTTGTGAGGTAGGTTAGGCTGATAGATAATGATTGGTCCAGAGGGACCCAAGTGGTGGGGTGGAGATTCAAGGCCAAGGTCATCTTAGTCCGACATACACACACACACACACACACTCCTGAGAGGTATTCTTAGGTGGAGGCCCACTGAGGAGTACAAAGGATAATATTGGTCCTTGCAGGGTTTTATTTTAGGTGAATTACACAATCACCAGTGTAATCCGTTTGAACTTGCATATATGAACTCAGCTGCTGAGCTTTATATGGACTTTGGACCAAGGCGAACTCAATTGGCGTGATATATGAACTTCTGCTGAGAGGCAAAGTTATACGGGCATGAAGTTGTCATGAGCTAAGATAACACTTTACCTTTATCAGCTACCGCAAGAGTCAAACATTGACATGCTGTGCCTTAGGAGACCACGCTTAGCTTGAATATATAGTCTTCCTTCCTGGATGCCGAATCTCTTGATCGAGAGAGAAGAGCTTGTTTGTCCAAGGGCATTTGGGGTCCTGCTACAGAGCAAGTCAAGAATTCTGTAGAACGAGATATTGTCACATTTCCTAGCATCCTCAGAAAATGAGAGCAGTCGCGGCTAGTTTCAGGGGCCATGCCATGCCTTCCAACCATGGGAAAAGGAAAACCTGCATACGGCTGTTTTTCTTCCCATGGGATGGGAATTCAGAGTTCCAAGGGCAGTACTCTGGGAGCTGGTTCACTGGATACCCCCAACAAGTGGCATCATGCCTACGAACAAGAGTGACTCATCACCACATCTCTCCACACAAGATAGGCAGACTTCTGGGGGAACCCGCCACCTAATACAGGCAGACTTCTGGGACCGTCCCCCCTCCACTCAATCCAGACAGACTTCTGGGGAGGTCCCCCTCCACTCAATCCAGACAGACTTCAGGGGGAGCCCCCCACCCTCCGCCCAATACAGACAGACTTCTGGGGGAGCCACATCCCTCTACCCGGTATGACAGACTTCTGGGGGAACACTCCACCCAATACAGGCAGACTTCTGGGGGAACACTCCACCCAATACAGGCAGACTTCTGGGGGAACACTCCACCCAATACAGGCAGACTTCTGGGGGAACACTCCACCCAATACAGGCAGACTTCTGGGGGAACACTCTACCCAATACAGGCAGACTTCTGGGGAAGCCCCCACCCACCCCTCTACCCAGTACAGGCAGACCTCTGGGGGAAGCCTTTCTCCTTTCATTTCTCTGACCCTCTGGTACAAAAAGATCTGCTGAACTTTGCTCCTCTCAACAAAGGCAACAGTTTTATTCGACCAGCAGCCTTCCTTGCGTTAGCTTTGCCAAGGGTGAGCAAGCAGCAGCAGCCCTCCTCTTGTGCTTGAAAGTGCCCTCCAACCATCTCTGGTTGTATTCTCCGTGGGCAGAGGGAGGAAGGCAGGGGCAGGCGTGGCCGCAAGCAAAATGAACCTTGATTCTTTATCAGGAGATTACTATCTGAGCGCACGGCCTGTGGGATATTCATCCAGTGGAAAGAATAACAATGGCGTTCACTTTGCTCCTGCCCCCACGGTCAGAAGACATGGCCAGATATTCATTAGTAGGCCTTTGAGAAAGGTCTTTGCCACACAGGTGGAGAGAGCTTTGAGAAGGCCCCAGTTAGGTCAACATAAGAACATAAGAACATAAGAGATGCCAATGTTGGATCAGGCCAAAGGCCCATCCAGTCCAACACTCTTGTGTCACACAGTGGCCAGAAATACCAGGGGCCATCAGGAGGTCCACCAGTGGGGCCAGGACATTAGAAGCCCTCCCACTGTTGACCCCCCCCCCAAGCACCAAGAAGACAGAGCATCACTTGCCCCAGAGTCCCTATCTATACCTTGTGGCTAATAGCCACTGATGGACCTCTGCTCCATATGCTTATCTAATTCCCTCTTGAAGCCGTCCGTGCTTGTAGCTGCCACCACTTCCTGTGGCAGTGAATTCCAAGTGTTAATCAAGAGCAGTTTTCCCTCTAAGCTGAGTTAGAGTGAGCCAACTCACAGGGTTTTTTAGCCTCTGGCTCACATTTTTGTCTTCGCTCAGGAAGGATGGCTCCAGAGCAAACTAATTTATGCAGTTTCCAAACTTCTTGTTGTTGTTCAGTCACACTTCGAGTCCGACTCTTCGCGACCCCATGGGCCACATCACACCAGGCCTTCCTGTCTTCCATCGTGCTCCGGAGTCTGCTTAATTTCATGTTCGTTGCCTCGATAACACCGTCTGACCATCTCCTCCTTTGCCATCCCCTTCTTCTTTGACCTTCAATCCAAGGTCAACGCCAAACGGCTCGCTCACAACTTTAATGCCAGGAGCTCACAAAGTAGAATTTTTGCTCACAGGACTCCACAGCTTAGAGGGAGCCTTGGTCAGGAGAGCGGCTTCTTTGCTGGACTCGTATCAGTGATCCAGCTTTTAGCCCTTGTAAGAGGCATTTTTCTGTTATCTTTTTTTTCTTTTTTAAATCCCATCCTTCTTCCAGGGAGGCAAACTAGTTTTGGAAGAGAGCAATGATCCAAGATTTCGGATGGCTCTCTTCGGAGGGACCGTTGTTGTATCCCAGTGCCTGCATGGGAGAAACAACTAGAAACAGAAACATTCCTTATCCATAGAGAGGCAGAGAAAGATGACAGATTCCCTTTGCAATTCATTTCGGGTTGTTCTTTTTTGACCTGGACATAAAATCTAGGGGTACGGTGGAGAAACCTCTTACAAGCATCTATTTGGGAGGGGCCGTGGCTCAGTGGTAGAGCATCTACCTGGCATGCAGAAGGTCCCAGGTTCAATCCCTGGCATCTCCAGTTAAAAGTTCTGGCAGTAGGTGATGTGAAAGACCTCAGTCTGAGACCCTGGAGAGCTGTAAAGAGGGGCTGTGGCTCAGTGGTAGAGCATCTACCTTGCATGCAGGAGGTCCCAGGTTCAATCCCCGGCATCTCCAGTTAAAAGGACCAGGCAGTAGGTGAAGTGAAAGACCTCAGTCTGAGACCCTGGAGAGCTGTAAATAGGGGCTGTGGCTCAGTGGTAGAGCATCTACCTGGCATGCAGAAGGTCCTGGCATGCAGAAGGTCCCAGGTTCAATCCCTGGCATCTCCAGTTAAACGTTCTGGCAATAGGTGCAGGCCCATAGCCAGGATTTTGTAATCCGGGGGGCCTTTAAATAACTCAGGGGGCACTGGCGTCACAAAATAAAAAATATATATCTTTTAAAAACTCACTTTTGCAGCATTCACGCCCTGCCTGGGGAAGCAAACCGTGCTTGGGGAAGGGGGCAGCGGTGGGGAGTCCTCCGGGTGGCCCAGAGAGTCAGGGGTCCTCCAGGCAGCCCAGAGACCTGGGGGCCAGGGGGCTGGGTGGAAGTTGGGGGGGGCAGGCCCCAAAATGCCCCACTGTAGCTACAGGGCTGAGTACGTGGAAGGAGAGAGCTTGGAGAGCCACTGCCACTCTGAGTAGACAATACTGACTCTGATGGACTCTCATTCAGTCTAAGGCAGTATCACGTCTTCATTTCCCTGATTATTTTCATGTGACTTCCTTGAAATTACTTAGGGTTTTTTCCCCACTGTTTCCCCCCACCCAGGGCTCACACTTGTTTCAATCGTCTGGACCTCCCCCCTTACCCGTCATTCTCCATGCTGTACGAGAAGTTGCTGACGGCCGTGGAAGAGACGAGCACGTTTGGACTCGAGTGAAAGAAGGACGTTTGGACCGGTGAAACAAGCACATTTGGACTCAAGCGCTCAGCTCCTCGGGCCTGTATGGATCCTCAAAGAATACACGAATGTTCGGATGGCATTTCCTAAAGGGAAACCTGTTTTTGCATTGAAGTTTAAGGCTTGATGAACGAGCAACACGAGCTCAGGGAGGCTCAGCAAAAGCCACTTGAGTGCTCTAAAGCCAAGGTATTCAGAGAAAACCAACAATCCAGCAATTGACCTCTCTCTCTCTTTTTTTTTTGTTCGTTTTTTCTGACCACCGAACTTTTACACATTTGTGATTCCTAGGAAGAACAAAAAGGAGATGTGACACGGGATCAGCAGCGTCAGGGCTACTGCGAAAATTTTACCCTCTCAAAAATGGATCCCCCACACACAAGGACTTGAAAAGGGATGAAGGCGAACGTTTATCAGCCCACCACTAAACTGTAGAAAGCCAAGTGCAAAAATACTGGCGTTTTCTATTTCGTTGTTAATCCGGTAGAACTAATTCCCCCCAAGGGTACACTACTTGACATCATATACAATACAAATAGTACCAATATGCTGTACATGTTAGACCTAAAGCTTATGGGTGCCTGCATGTGGCGCACCGTAGAGATCAATTTTCCAGGGCTTATGAAGAATACCGAGGACCGTTGGAGACATGGGGTGGCGACCGGGTGGCGGCTCGTACAAATGCATACGCAGACAGTGTGTTCCATGAGAGATAAACTGCTATAAGAGAATCTAATAACGATGGGTTTTATGCTTTATACTGCATGGAGAGTGTTTTTTAAAAATGAAAAAAACCAACCTTAGACTTAAAACACAACATATCAGGAAAAAGGAAAAAAAAACTCTTACAGTTGACCACTTTTGTTTATTTTTATAGGTTCACGCTAATTTGTTCCTTAGAGTGTAGATATAGGAAAATCAGCGGACAAAATATTATTTTGTTCTTTCCACTCTTCCATGCTTAAATAGGTATTGTTCTTGTGTTCGATTCTTTCTGCACTCTCAAGGGAAATAATAATATTGATATAATAATAATATATATATATATGCCTTTTATTTTTATAAGGGTAAAATATTCCTGAAACTATTTTTTTGCACTGAATGTACCAAAGTCGAAGGGGACATTGGAGAATCTGACCGACAAGAAACCACATCACGCATCTAAATCAACAGGAACTAGCTGTTCTAGGACCAGACCTCCTCACAGTGCCACGGCTGTCGATTATACCAGGACAGTGCACGCTCAGTAATAATTTTTTTAAGATCACTGCGTGTCATACTGTGTAATATGCATTTATTTCAAATGTGTTTTATTCCCCCTCCCGCGCCCCTCCCCATCGATCAACTAACTTAATGGAACGGAGTTTGAATAGAGATGTTTTCGTATTTCTCCCCTGCAACATCTTTTTTTTTGTGTACAGCACAATTAAAAGCACTACGGCGGATCTGTAGAAGGAAGACGGCCAGCATCAGAACCGTCACTTAGTACTGACTCTGCTCGTGTTTCGTGGTGAAACCATCTCCGAGATGTGGACTGTCTGTAGTGTCCTTTTAAAAGCCTGCGTTTTCATGAGTGATTTCTTATCAATGTTTATTAAAATGGAGTACTTTTCTACGGTATATTTGAAAAGCATGAGTCCACCATGTCAAATAAGCTTTTTCTTCCCCCTTTTAATTTTTTATATATATATATAAACACGTTATTTGAGTGTGTTCCTCACAAGGATCTCTCACCCCGAGGGGCCTCTTTGATTGTGTTGCAATGGTAGCGGTCGGACCCTTGGGTTCACCTTCCTCATCGTTAGCTGTACTGACTCGACGACAGCTTTCCAGGTTCTCGGATGCAGAACAGTCTTCCTCAACACAAGATCCTTCAGCCGGTGATTCCGGGGGTTGGACCTGGGTAGGTCCTACATAACAAAGCGTCCTACTGCTGAGTCACAAGCCCTCCCTGTGCGCGGTGCATCGAAGCCCTGCCACTGAGAGTCAAAACTGACATTGGGAGCGACCTCGGAGTTTCCATCCACTTATCCTTGGCTGCTGGATGACTCACGCATGCTTTCCATTACCAGTCACTGTCGTGAGAAAAGCCTCCTACGCACCTGAAGCTTGGCAGGACGGTGATAGCAGTGGCTTAAAGCGAAGACTGGCTTTTACACCTTTCTAAGGTTGGGGCGGAGGCAGGAGCTGGGGATAGGCAGAGGTCAGCCGGAAGGAACGAGTCCTGCAGAAAACAGCCCAATTAAAGAATACGGTAGAGTTTCATAAACAGGACCCGGTCTACCTCCCACTGGTTTTGTCCCTCCTCAAGCGATGAAAGAGAATCCAGGCAGTGCTCTGTATTTGCGCGCACATTTGGCCCAGATATTAAAACCTCTGGTAAAAATGTGTTTTATCAGGAAGCTGGGAAGCAAAAGGGACAGCCCATGTTTCATCAGGGCGTTAAACTGTAGATAATGCGAGATAAGGGGACAGCGTTGCTTGGATAAGTACCGCGGGACTTAGTTTTAAAAATACTATTCTTTCAGTATACCAGTACTAAAGAAAGCCCAAAATGGAAACCCGTGTGAGGAGACCCTGAGCAATCTGGGCAGGAAAGCTGCGTGCACGTAGGGGGAGATTTCGCTTTCTGTATTCGGTTAGCTGAACATTCCTGGTTTAACCCCGTCAGATTTTGTTAAATCTCCACCTCTAACTTTGGGTATATTAATGTATAGAAGCCCATCCAATTTAACACAGATCAATCTTTGACATGGGGCGATGTTTTCCTTTTCCGTCGAGGTGTGTTCAAAGTCCGCTTTTGTAAAACCAAAAACTAATAAATGGATTCATCATTTCTTTTAAAAAATATATATTAAAAAATAGGTCCTGTTATTTTCTAGTCACTGTCACGAGCAGGACATTAGGTGACACAGAGAAAGGAGGCGTTTCTATATAATGCTCCAAATGAAGGACCTTGCAGTGCTGGAAAAGGTGCAGAGGAGGGCAACTGAGATGATTCAGGGGGTTGGAGCCCCTTCCCTAGGAGGAAAGGCTGGAGAGTCTCTGGGACTTCTCGGTGTAGAAAAGAGCTGAGGGGGGGGGCACGAGAGAGGTTTATAAAATTATGCACGGGGGTGGAGAGAGTGGACAAGGGGAACTTTTTCTCCCTCTCCCAGAATACTCACAATCGAGGGCATCCAACGAAACTGATGGGCAGTAGGTTCGGGACGGACAACAGGAAAGACTACTTCGCAGAGAGAATGATTAAAATGTGGAATTTGCTCCCAGAGGGCGCAGTGATGGCCACAGGTATAAACAGCTTTCAAAGGGGACTGGATACATTCATGGAGGATAAGTCTATCAATGGCAACTACCCATGGTGACTGAGGGCAAACCTCCACATTCAGAAGAACTGGTCGGCCGTTGTGTGAGACGGGAGGCTGGACTAGAGGGACCCTCACTGGTCTGATCCAGCAGGGCTCTTCTGATGTTCTTCCCAGGGGAAGGCCTCGGCCTCTCTGCCGGGTTGTTGGCCCTCCAGAGGAACTGGCTGGCCACTGTGTGAGACGGGATGCTGGACTGGATGGACCGTTGGTCTGTTCCAGCAGGACTCTTCTTGGGTTCTTATATGAAAATAAAAAATGAAATTCTCCCAAAAATGGCTTGATGAGGACTGAGTGTGCCAGAGGAGGCATAGATTGTTGAGAATGGCTGAGAGCAGTGTGTCCAGGGCTAACACATGTAGGGGGGTATGGAAACAATTATCTTGGCCCATGTGACTGTGCACGAGTCCCCACCACTACCTATACATGTGGCACACCTTCCCCCATGGGTTTCATCCTGTGTTCAAGAAAGCAGATGCCCCCAGTCAGATAATGTGTACCAGCACTGTGGATACACGAGAGTAAACGTGTACATTAGTTGTTGTAGATTTTCCAGGTTAGCCTTTGACAAACATGTACAGTTGGGTGGCGGCATGCACAGTATTCCAGCTCACCCCACCCCCCTCCCTTTGCTATTTGGTACCAAGGAGTAAGAACAGAAATTTCCAAACCTGGAGTTGGCAACCCTAGCGAACAACTTAAAACAGTGACATCAGCAGACGTGGCCAGTTCTGTTGATTTCAGTAAAAGGCCTCCCAAGAATAGACAAAACTCTCTAACCTACTCCAGCAGGCCAGTCTTGCTTTCTGTGGGAGGGAGTTCCACAGCCTGAGGACTGCAGCTGAAAGGGCCCTCCCTGGGAGGGCTTCTAATGTCCTGGCCCCACTGCTGGACCTCCTGATGGCACTGGTATTTCTGGCCACTGTGTGACACAGAGTGTTGGACTGGATGGGCCTTTGGCCTGATCCAACATTGGCGTCTCTTATGTTCTTATGTTCTTATGATGTTTGTGTTTCCGCAGGAAAGCCTTGTGCATGGCTCTCAAAATCCGTGCAGGTTTATACGGGTCCTCTCAGGCTCATGCTGTCTGGGGTTTTAAGGCCAAAGTCTTGAATTCGGCCTGGAAACAGAGAGGAGGTTAGCACAGTTGGAAAGATTACTGGTTTTATGTGCACACTGCAGCAAGTTGTGGTCAAAACACTGTACCAAATGAGATTATACCGTGACAAACTTTACTAATCAACAGTTCTTATAATTTAACCGTGACCTGGATAGCCCAGGCAAGCCCGATCTCATCAGATCTCGGAAGCTAAGGAGGTCAACTCTGGCAAGTACTTGGATGGGAGACCTCCTCGGATTACCAGAAGCAGGAGGCGGGGGCAGGCTTTACTCAGCCACCTCTTGGAATATCCTCCAGGCCCCCAGGAGGGGTCAGTCACCAGAGGTCAACAGGACCTCCAGGTGCACACACACACATACACACAAAACAATTCTTATAATTTCATTTTGTATTTTTGGATGTTTAAACAAACAGTGCAATACATATAACATTGCAGTATGTCTTTTAATAGTGCAAAACATGATGCCGGTATCCTACATTTTTACTGCTTTGAATAAACCTTTGGAACACAGCTTTATGCTGGCTTCCGTTTCAGCGGGATCCGACGTTCTCCTAATTCGGATACGGTGCACTCATGAGGTGTGAAATGCATTTTCTTCTCTTTAAGCAGACTCTTCCCAATTGATTAATTATCTGCTTACGAGGACTCCATCCCAATGGATGGATTTTTATATGAGGAATTTGATTGGGGAAAAACAAACCCAAACATTGTGATCTACAAAGGCTTGGGACTTTTATAAAAGAAGAAACAAAGACTGTAGTTTTCTATGAAATCTATTCTAGTTTTCACATGTGATATGAAGAAGAAGAAGAGATTGGATTTACACCCTGCCCTTCACTACCCAGAGGAGTCTCAGAGCGGCTTACAAACTCCTTTCCCTTCCCCTCCCCACAACAGACACCCTGTGAGGTAGGTGGGGCTGAGAGAGCTCTGGCAGAAACTGCTCTTTTTTCAAGAACATCTCTGACAGAACTATGGCTTGCCCAAGGTCATCCAGCAGCTGCATATGGAGAAGTGGGGAATCAAACCCAGTTCTCCCAGATTGGAGTCCGCACACTTAACCACTACACCAAACTGGCTCTGTTTGTTTACACTACACCAAGCTGGCTCTGTATTGCACTGTTTATTTAAGAAATCTAAAAATACAGAATGAAACTATAAGAATGGTTGATTAGTAAGTTTGTCACGGTTTAATCTTATTTGGCACATATTTTTCCGTGATCCTCTCTCTCTCTGTGTTTGTTATTGTGGTCCAAACACAAGCTGCCAAATTTTGTACTAGCTGAAGTTTCCAGGAAGGCTTTCAAGGACAGCTTCACACACAG